ACAACTCTGCACATGCACCATTCCTCACACGTCTGATCATCCAGGCTGGAGCAGAGGCCTGCTGAGACCTCCTGCCATTCTCTATCTGAGGCTCCAATGCAGGCTACAGAGATGAATCACCTTGACTCTTTATGACTCAGCCAAACCCTTCTGATGTACACTGAGTTCAATAAAGCATCCCTCATGCTCAGCTGACCTTTGTGGACCTTTCAGAGATCATTTGTCCTGAGTCACAACCTTCTAATACAGTCACATAGGTCATTCTAAAAAAACAGCTGTATGTGTTCCTCATATTTACATGTTGAAATTATTGTGATTAAAAATATATTTAAAAATTTAATGTTTTTGAAAAACATCTCTAATGCTCACCAAGGCTGCATTTACTTGATCAAATACAATAAAATACAGTAAAACTGTAATGTTGTGAAATATTATTACAATTTAAAATACCTGTTTTCTATTTTAATATATTTTAAAGTGATTTATTCCTGTGATATCAAAGCTGAATTTTCAGCAGCTATTACTCCTGTCCTCAGTGTCACATGATTCTTCAGAAATCAATCTATTATGCAATTTATTATCAATGTTGAAAAGATTTTTATTTTTGTATATATATATATATATATATATATACATACACACACACACACACACACAGTATAATGTACATACCTACTGCAAACACTAACAGTACTACCTTAAAATCTATTCATATGAAACTGCATAATATTAACACTAACAGAACAAATCTGCTCAAAATTTACTTGAAAACTCCTTATCAGACTGGAAAAGACACCTGTTTAAAAAATGATCTCTTTTAAAGGTCAACTCAGGATCCACCTTCAGTCTCCTCTCCAGCATACAGTGATGGAGAACATGTGCCTCTGTATTGGCAGCAGTGTCTCAAAATGAGTGGGAACATCTGAGATGCTTTCCCTCCATTCATATCACTTAATTAGATGAATGCTGGATGGGTACAGACACAGAGTAAATCCATTAGCTATACATTTTATGAGACTTATTAAATGTTTGGCATAATTCAAGCCTGCAGTATATCAAATATAATTTGGATAATAATCCAGTACGCCGGATACAGAGCAGTCCCTCATGAACCACAAAAATAATAATCACATCAGCAGAAATTATGGTCTCTGAGAGTGCCTAATATAACCCAAGCGTGCTTTGTCTCAAGGACAGTCTTAGCATCACTCTCTCCCTATTCCCTACTGCTCCACATTTAACAACATTCAGTACTCTACACTATGCAGTCTATAGCCATTAATGTTGATTTATAAAATTACAAGAGGATAAAAGAAAAAAAAAAAAAATTTCTCATGAAGTTTGAGTGAGGGAACGCACACACCGCCACTTACGACTGCAAGTCTTGACACAAATGGTGCATGCTAAATTCGTTGGCACAGTAAGTCAAATAACCACAGACAGTAAGCAATGCAATTTAAACCACAAAATGGACAGATTAAAGGGCTGGAAGGCACTCACCATACCTAAAAAGGCAGAAATAGGCAACAAGCTATGCAGCCTTTCCTATTTTAGCATTCTTCAACTAAAATAACAATCAGCTCCCTTTTCTAGCCCATTAACACAAAATGACACAAAGACAATGTCCAGCAGGATCAAAACAGGAACTGTAATGTCATTTAGCCCACAAATAAGTGCATTACTTTACAGTCTTGACATTTCAGCTCTCTAAGGCCTCTGAGCTGCACTGTTCAGTATTTGGCTGTGCCCAGACGCAGCACAATGAGTCCCTTCACATGGCCCACAATAAAACTGTCAGCAATAACACATTTCTAAAATCATTTTCTTTGACCTTTAAAACACCCCCTCTCACTATAGCAGCTTTGACGAGAGGCAGTTTTCTGGTCAGACACCAGTGGAGCATTGAACTAACAAATAAACAGCTTTATAGGAAAGTGGTGCTATTTAGATGCAAAGCAGAGAGCAAGACACTAAATGTGTTCTGAATTGCATGGGCTACGTTGGTGGCGTTTTGAGATAACTGGGTGATTGCCGTGATATTCTCATAGGTAGATCTGTCAGATGTTGTGGCTGCCTGATATTTTGGCATCTGTGTGCAATGAGACTTACGTTGGATAAAACAACTTATGAGTAATACAGAGGAACAATACATTGCAAAGCAATTTTAATAATAAAACTGGGTTACCAAAAGCACCATCCAACAGGACAATCCTCAACAGCCCTGTTCCGTCACTGTAGGATTGTGCACTTTATATTTACTCTGGTGAATGAATTCAAGGGCTCTCCAAAGCTAATACTGAAAATAAGCCACAAGTAAACATTCGTTTCACTGCAATCCTGCAGTAAGTCATTGCATGGTAATTGTGCAGAAGCAAAGACGGGCTCTTTACCATTCAGACAGAAATCCGTAAGGGGAAAAATCTTATCTAGTAGCTTCACATTGACTCTCATTCGCTCCTGCTGCCTCAATTAGTTTGTTAATATTGCATTGTGCAGCATAAAGTGCAATCACATCGGTTGTTTACTGGCAGTGTTGATTTCTCAATTTTATTAAACAAGCCACAGCATGCAAAAGATTTACTGCAGTACTGTAAACAAACTAATAATCGGTCAGGCAAAAAACATTCTTACAGTATATCTCAGATGGAGCAGGTCATACAATTAAGGACAGTGAATGGCTAGATATATTGGCTATGATGATGGTAGTCTGGTTGTGGTTTCCACATTAGCGGAGCCGAATGGGTAAAGTGACTTTGGAGAGCAAAGCCACCATGAATTGGCTGTGTGATCGCTCCATACATCTCTGTCATTCCACGGGCATATGGGCACACGTACGTACACACGTACAGACAGGGTACAACATCCGCTAAACGGGGAAGGGTAAGGTCCAGCACATTGCCATACACGAGAAGAATTTTAATGGGAAAATCCATCCTGTCTTGCTGGGCAATGCCCTTCATTTCCTCCATTAAGTGGGCACAGAGAGAGGTAATGGGCTGCATGAGGTGACTATAAACAGTAGTGAGGGCTCTATAATTAACTAGCATTGCTGCAAAGACAATGGTGAAAGATTCTGCTAATTGTCACATTTAAGCTCTCTTTGTCATCATATGTGACCCTGGGCCACAAAACCAGTCTTAAGTCGCTGGGGTATATTTGTAGCAATAGCCAAAAATACATTGTATGGGTCAAAATTATAGATTTTTCTTTTATGCCAAAAATCATTAGGATATTAAGTAAAGATCATGTTCCATGAAGATATTTTGTAAATTTCCTACTGTAAATATATTAAAACTTAATTTTTGATTAGTAATATGCATAGCTAAGAACTTCATTTGGACAACTTTAAAGGCGATTTTCTCAATATTTAGATTTTTTTTTGCACCCTCAGATTCCAGATTTTTAAATAGTTGTATCTCGGCCAAATATTGTCCTATCCTAACACAACATACATCAATGGAAAGCTTATTTATTCCACTTTCAGGTGATGTATAAATCTCAATTTCGAAAAATTTACCCTTATGACTGGTTTTGTGGTCCAGGGTCACATCACATATACCTTAGATCAAAGAACCAGATCTCCTTGCCATTATCAACTGCAATAAGTCATCCAAGTCAACTAGGCAGGTAAAGCTATAATACAAAACATCAGGGCTAATACAAGCAATAAGCAATTGAGGTATTGTGTCAATCTGAAATTCTACCAAACTATAATAAGGTTAAAAATCATGTTAAAGTAATGAAATGTTTAAATAATGCAATACTGAAATATTTCTCATATTCCAACTTGAATACAATCCATTTCAGAGGAAAGACTGAAAATAGAATCTACTGGTTCCAAGGGAAATTATCTTTCAAGAGCATGAGCTGGTTCATTAATACAAAAGTATTTATTACAATTACACAGAATTATCTTGGGAAAAATTACATAGGGAACAGCTGCAACATTCACGACATCTAATTGCAGGGAGGATATTACATATTTTGCTTTAATTTCTGTACTATTCATACTACCGAAGCATCTCTAGAAAGACTTTGTTTAAAAACTGATCACACCTGAAAGGAAGAATACAATGTCAAGATCAATGTAAAAAATCATTGACAGGCTGTGCCAAGCCACACATTCTATCAAATTCAGGAGATACAGGCAACGTGCTATACAGCAGCACTGACCACAGCCCCCGCAGCTCTCCAATACTCTCAGGCTTATTCCCACCAATTTTATGGGATTGCATCCTCTCTAAGTTCTGACTGCCACTGTCATTGAAAATGATTAGTGTCCTAGCAGCTAATTTTTTTCCAGGCAGCTCCCTAAGCAGTACTTCTCTCCCTGCCACAGTCTACAGTACTTCATCTCACTTCTGCTGCTTACTATCTGCCCATGAGTCTCCTCACCTGCTGAACATGGTGGAGATGGATGTTGACGAATAGATGGATTCACCGATTACTGAATGTGCAAACAGAGAGATAGACAGATAGATAGACATAGACAAACTAGCAATTTTTTTTTTTCATTTTTTTAAAGAATAATGAACATTTCTAAATATGCTTTGTATTATTTTACCTTGGCATTAAATTACAAAAAATATTTAACTGCTGGGAAAACGTTAACGTCTGAGGGAGTGATAATACATTTGAAATCTTTTGAGTCTCTTCTGAGTGCCATAATCAATCACTCTATATTTTATTTCAAGTTGTGGAAATGCTATTGAGTGTGTGTGTGTGTGTGTGTGTGTGTGTGTGTGGAAATCATTTGCCCGATGTCATTGCCTCACATAAACTACACTGAAGAGCAAATCGACAGTAAACATTCAGTCAAGCCTCTGACTGGACTCAGTTATCTGTCTTTTCTTGACTTGTGAAGGTATGAGCAGCAGACAGCGGACACTGATCACTGCGAGAGGCGGGAGTGAGTGAGCACTTATTGGGGAGGGCTTTGCAGTTGCACTCGCATCCTCACGGTCTCACAAGGACAAAACCAGAAATTTACTATCGCTTACTTTATAAAGTAGCTGGCGCCTTCCTCGGTGAAGCCCTCTTCCCATCCCCGCGGTAAATCTAAGGGGAGATAAATATTTGTACAATACTCCATTAAGTTTTTAATGAAACAGCAAGTAGCCAACCATCAATTATGCAGAGGACGTGTTTCCAATGTTCACTTTAAACACACTTACCGCAGTATCCGACTAAGGGTGCAAAGTTTAGACTAGCAAGCATACTTTATTACCGTACCTGATCGTATCATGTGTCCTGAGTTGACAGGTTCACCAGTGCGGGGATGGAGCCAAGTAGTGCTGCGAGTTTTGTCGCTAGAAAACAGAAACACCTGTTACGAGACCCATCGGGAAAGGTGCGGATTCACCAGAACCACGATAAAATGCAACGACTGTGATTAAACCCTTCATAGGCTGCTTACTTGATGAAAAAGACCCTGCCATCCCTACACACTCCGTAGGACCAGTGTTCAGGTAGCGTGTCCCGCCCGAGCGGAGCCGCCATGATCCCGGTTTAAAGTGAGAGCTGCGCCGCAGAGTTTCCAGGGAATCGGACAGTCCGATAATCACCACTAGGGCTGCACTGCTGTTAAAGGGGCAGGCCAAACTTGGAGAAAGTCTTTGTCCCAGTTATAAGCCGACAGAAAAGAAAGAGGGCATCATTAATCAGGCGGGATGTTGATGCTGGGAGTGCACAGATGTCGCCGACGAAATTCTACCTTTTATTAGAGCAAAGCCAATTCTGTAAGAGTGTAACTTCATGCAGATCGAGTTACACATTGAAGCCATGGTCAGATTAACATTCCCGCAAATCACACGCGCATTCTGAAACAGTTGGATACTTGTTTATACCTTGTAAGATTTGTATTAAAGCCAGACTGCATTTGGACATTTGTTGTTGTGTTGCGGTCATGACAACAGTCTTCACAGATTTGAGCTTTTTGGCAGGTAACAAGTAGGCGAACAGTGGCTAATGATTTAAATGACAATAGTACGAAGTGAGTGATTATTTTAGTCAGGTTAAACCTGTCTATAAACCTAACATTTCTCCTACGTGTTTCCCAGCCAAAAATACCCGACTGAGAAAACATATCTTGCGGAATAAACATTTTTTCTTGAGTCGTACACATGCTGAGAAAGTCTTGTTGGCTCCCTGCTGACAAAAACAGCGTAAAGTTGCTTTGTTTACACTTTCGCGTCACTCTGTTCGCGCCACTTTTCGTGATCTGAGTGCGCGTGGGCAGCTGGTCTAATAAGAAAATATTAGGTCATTTACTTACCTTTAAATATACCTAGACAGGAATAATATTATTTAGCTACCCATGCAGGTATGTTATTAATATTTAATTAATGCTCAGTGGTAGTTCATCATGTGCAAAAGCCACTTTAAAAAGTGTCTACACTAACTGTGTCTCATTTTATATTTCAGAGCACTCATAAAGATATTGAAATTGAAATAAATATAGTAACTCAAATGTTTATAGTAATTCAAAAAGTTTTTATTCATTAGGTAGGCCTACATATTTTTATACTTAAATATACCTAATAAATAAATGTAATAAATAAATAATATTTACTTGACAGCTGATGACCTTAACATAGGCTAACGGTTATCTGATTTAATATTAACTAACTGGGCTATACAAAACATTTGCTGGTAAATGGACACATGAGCTTGAGCTAATATTTGGACAAGAATAGCCTACACTTCCTCATAAAAGCAAACGTGCCAATACGTCAGTACTGTATGAGAAATCTCTGACACAAAACTCATACCTAAAGACTCTCCCATACATTCTTGATCATAACCACAGGAACACACCCGGTCAAACTTCTCACTAAGGCAGGGCAGAGTCACTACAAAAGAAACAATCCAACTGCAACAACAGCTGATTATCCTTCCACTATAGGCCATGCTATTTATAGCCACCTACAGTCTGTAGTCTGGCTGACAGTTGACGGTTGACCTTATACTGTAAAATACCTCCTTTTCTGTACAAGTATGTGAAAATGTGTGTATAAACAAGGTCAATTGCATCTTTCTGCAAATAAAATGTCTTCAACAATTCAGTAATTATATCTTTTGAAACATTTTATATTTATATTTTTATTTATATTTCACAACTATAACAGAGGAAAAACATTTACTTTTTGGGGAGTGAAGGAAATGGGAAACAAACTAAAGATAATAATAACATTATGTAGGGTGCAGTTCAAACAGCAGGTGGGGATATTTCACAACTGCTATTAGTGGTTATTGTGCTATGGGAACTGGGAAATTCATGACTGTATTCTGGAAATAAGCTCAAAGAAGCCATGCAAAAGTAAATGTGTTTTATTACTAATGTCATTGTAGAAATGCACTATTCTCAGTAAGCCATTATTAAATTATGGATCATTCCCCTTGCAAACATGTCCAAAAATAGAGGTTTACAGAGAAAAATTGTTCAGCTGGTCATGCAAGTTAATTAACGATGTTAATAAGGCAATCGGTTCAGTGTAAAACAAAGCAACTTTTTAATGCTACTAAGACACCGAATCGATCATGTGAGTGTACATCACTGTAAACATTTTTTAAAAGTGCTCTTGCTTTTATATAACAGTGCAGAAAAAATCAGAGTGCACCTCTAAGGTCATTCCGTGCAGGCAGCAGTTAATATGGAAGGTCATGATGTTTGTGCTTGTTTGTGTGTGTACCAGGGTGAATAAAAATGACACAGCTGAGGGTTTCAATCTATCAGCTCCGTCACTTATGACCGCCTTTGGCTGCACTGAGAATGAGCCATCTCAACCATGACATTACAATAATGCTTACACTGCGCCAAACTGGACTTGCCCTGTCTCCTCATGCCATCCATAAATTTCATCCTGGTATAAGAGGCACTGCTCAAAGTCACACTATACATATGTCAATGTACCACAAGACAAGGACTGTATTAGTGGCAAAGAGGCGACAGTAAAATAAATTACATAGTGTATTCACTAACAATAAATTAACTGTCATCATAAGATTAGTGTGTGTGTGTGAGTTGCATTTTAAAATAGCCTAATAAACATCACTTCATGTTCAGATGTGTGGATTTAGATTTTTCAAAGAAATATCATATGGATAAACATGATTTTGTCATGAAAAGACATTTTCCTGATCCTAGTGCATTTGTATAAAAGTGAGTTGTCACAAAATATTTGAACCAGCACAAATGTTTTCACTGTTTTCACTGATCAAATCAACATATTAGAATGATTTATGAAAGATCATGTGACACTGAAGCCTGCCATCAGTCATCACAGGAATAAATTACGTTTTGAAATAGGTTCAAATAGAAAACAATTCTTTTAAATTGTACTAATATTTCACAATATTACAGTTTTTACTGTTTTTTTTTTTTTTAAACAGTATGATTTGATTTGGGAGTAGCAGCCTGTGACTGACAGAACTGTAACCCTGGGCACACCAGCACCGTGGTGGGACCTGACCGCGTTCCGTGTTGTGGCCTAGTCCGCCTGAATAACATGCCATATGCCTCCAACAGAGCACAGCACATGTCCGGCTAATAAGCTTGTTTGAATTAGGGGCTTTCTGTAATACCACTTAAAAGGTCTTCCGTTTACTCTGTCTGTCCCTCGCAGTCGCACACATTTAGTAATGGGGTGCAGTCCTGCGCAGCTCTGCAGTATTGTACTGCTGATGGTTTCCTCACCACTGCCAGCAGCTCACAATGCTGCAAGGTGACTCAGTGTTACTTTCCTCTCTTAGGAGAGGTTCATACAGAGGCAACTGCAGTTAAATCGCTGCATGCAGAATAAAGTGATCTGCAACAGTTGATTCTCAATACGTCTCCTTCCTCTCTCGTATTAGCTGCAAATGCGTCATATGACATAATGTACACATCTACGGTGAAAGCACTGCAGGAGCTACAGTTTGTGGAAAATGTATGTTATTTCATTTCACAGTTTAAAATACCTCATCTCAGTGATGTGACCTCTATTAGTACTCAATTATTTTTAATCAAACTGAAAACGAGTTATGGTGCCGTTCATAATAGACCGCCAGAGCTTTTCAGAAACTGCTTAAAGCGATGATTTAAAGGCTTTTTGTATAAAAGCCAGACTCCATTAATTGAACAAAGATACAAATCAAGTTTTTAAAGGATATAAAAGGTGTCGGTTATGAAAGGCTGACTAAAGACATCCTTAACCAGGACATATTTTCACATATTTAATTAATGTCAATTTGCTTTGCTTATTAAAAATACCCTGTACACCAGGTGACTATTTTTAATAGATTCTTTTCTACGGCATCGATTAATGCAGACAATACAAATTTAGCCATTTTACACTTTTGGAATATTTGTATTGCCATTAGCACACATTTCAAAAGGTGAGCACTGACCTCTAGCGGACAAGATCCTTAGCGCGGTCACTTATTCAGACAGTGTATCCACATGCAGCACCTTATAAAGAACCGAGTTTTCACTCTCTAGTCTTTCTCTGTATGAAGTTACCAATCTTAATCTAATTGAACAATTTCCTTAGAATAATTGGCATGTCCTTATATACTAATGACACACACCTAGTGAGTCATCTAGTAAACTTTTATAAACTTACTGAGCCATGTATATATTCCTCAAAACAGTAGCTTCTCATGATCCAGTACAGGTGCACACATTTGTGTTGATTTTTTTCTAACAAATAATGGCATACATTTTAATCTGGGTGCCAGCTAGACATGTAATTAGATCTCTGGCTTTTCCTTTAAATTAATGTCAATGAGACAACACCTAATATATCAACATGCCTTTCTTTCCATTTTGAGCAATAATTTTAACTCATTTATTCTCAATGTTCTTACACGGTCAATAGAAAAGCATAATACACATGCACTACAAAATGCTGGCCACAAAACTTCTTTTAATGTCTGTAAAATGATCATTTAAACAGAAAAAAATAATACTCAAAAGATTTACAAATCTTTCCAACTGCATCAACCATAAAGGAACTTTGTTTGAAAAGAGCCAAGTGAATATTCTGTTATGATGGATTCTGAATGAGACGTTTACGTGACGGAATACACACATATGTAACCGCTGTATTCTACTAAAACAATAATGCAACTGCAACACAGTTCTATACCCAACTGGAGTAAAGCAAATCAGTCTGACAGAAACAACACAAACAACATGAATTGATTCCGATATTTTATTTGTCCAAAAACTGCAAATTTATGCCACCAGTGCAGAAGCTGTGGAGGATTCGCTGCGGATGAAAACAAACAAATAAATCAGATAAATTCAGGAAAAACTAATTTTTGAAAGACAAAAGTAGTTTTTTGTGTGAAGGGGACTGGCAGTGCTGGCACAATAAAGCCAAACTGCTAATTTACCTCCAAGGTTTATCTAGCACATCAGAAATATCTCAGTTCTTACAAGGGAAGAATGGGACAATGAAATGTGCACTACATATTAGCGAAATAATTTATTGTAATGTCGAAAAAAAGTCAATCAAACACTCACTACTTCCAGTTGGGGGCAAGTACTCTCTTGGTCTTATAGTAGCGGGCAAGCCTGTGGATTCTGCTCTCAACCAGAATCAGGCGGAACTTGGCATCCCTGTCCTGCAAGACCACAAGTGACAATGATGAGACAAAACAGCTGAAACACATTGGACTGATTTTTCCTTAAATCTTCCAAAAATGATCGTCTGCACTGTAAAGATGCAAGTACATGATGTAATATGAATGACCGTTTCATTACCTTTCTGTTCCTTTCCAAGTGCTTCCTCACAGC